ATAGGATAAGTGCACTAAGTCATCCAAGGGTTGAGCTGGTCTCCATCCAAGCATCAGGCCGCCTTTCATTGCACTGATCCTGCATAATATACCATCTTCCTTCAGCGGCCTCTCCGCCACGGTGACGTCATGTGATCTCCCCGGCTATATCATACTTTACAGCTCTCTGCAACCTTCGTATGCACCTTTTTATTGCACTGTGTACATGTAGCTGTGCCCAATCGGTGAAACTTCATATTGGTGCATCGGCGGCATCAATCACCCGAGCTGTCATCTCCCTATCACTTATCAGAGGCAACTAGAGCGAGGGAGAGGGACAGTCACACACAAGATACACCAACGGTGTAATCAGGACCCGCAGAGTTGGGAGGACCTTGAACCCCGGCTGGGGAAGGGTAATGCTATCGCACCCTGAACAGGAAGATGGAGGTGTGAAGGAGCAAAGAGAAAGTTCTAGGCCAGGGAAGTTTAAAGGGCCAGTGTACGTTTATGCTGAGCACAAAAGCATGACTTGGTGTTGGGGTTCCTGGCCCCTCTTATGTGTATTGTGGTTGAAGCCCAACTTCACCAGATTGTCTTACCATAGAAAATGCAGCAATAGTCACCTCCTCCCTGCCCCTTACTTCTCTCTGATCCAGTACCTGGCCACTTCCTGTGAGTTCAGGGTGTCATGGACACGCCCCCTCACCCCAGCCTGGGTTCACAGTGCTGCTGCAACGCTCATGACACTCATGTGACGACCTGACAGTTTTCCTCTGCTGAAGCCTTCTGGTTTTCTGGTGCCACCGCAGGACAGGAAGTTATGGAAGACCTCTCAAAAGATGACACAGTTAACTCGCATTCCTAAAGTGGGGATAAAAATCTCTGACTGTGCTTTTATTGCTGTAAGTGCCTTCCTGCCCCGGTGACAACCCCTCCTCCATTTCTTGTATGGGTGTCACAGGGACACCGTAGGACACAGTGGTGTTACAAGGGGGGGTGGGGTTCCCGGCCCACACCAGGTAACACCATCAGAGGGTGTGACACCAAAATGACTTCCAGTCATTTTGGTGTCTCCCCCCCCCCCCCCCAACAACCAG